GATATAATGAATACCAATTTGATGATGTCAGGATTTGGGAATGTATTTTCATCTACTCATTTCTGGTACAGTTTTAAAGATTTTAAACTTCTCTTGATAGTTTGACAAACTAGATTTTTTTTTTTTTTTGATAGGAGTTATTAAAGCAATACAGACTTTTTGGAGAATTTTTTTTTAACTTAGGAACTCATAAATTATTATTTTGGTAATCTAGGCTAACAAAATAAACTGAAGTAATAGAAAAATTTATCCCCAATATTTTTAGTATGGTATCTTACATATTGGAGCAAGATGCTTTATTTATAGAAAGGAATGACCCCTTCTGTAGTTTGTTTATTCCTGTGCTAAAATGCAGTTAGCTGTATTGGGTTCCCATGCTCAGCATCAATGGGGTAGTTAAGTAAATTAACCACTTCTTAAAGTTGTAAGGAAATGGAGTGCTAAGGTTGTTAGAATACAAAATTTTCTGTGAACTGTATGATCTTAAGTTTTAAAGAAAGCTTAGGAAGAGTAATAGATGGACAGAACAAAAATGGCGGTATTAGCTGTCGGTGTGGACACGGTTTTCTACCTCTCAACTGTTGCTTCTCAGTGAAAACATCTTAAAAAATGGAAGACCCCTTTCAGTTAAATTTTGATAACCTGTTGCTACTGCTATCCTGATACCTCATTTCTGGTTGTATAAGAATAATAAGTAGGTATTGCACCAAGAAAATTGTGACATTAAGTACCACCCATAGTTTTTACGTTAAGAATGTACTTGTAAAATAAGGATATGTAAATACTGAGTAAAATTATGATTTTATTAGTTTATAACATTATTTTAAGCAATTCATTAACACTTGGAATTGGAAAATGACTTCGAAGATCATTTAATTCTACCTCATTTTGTGTATTTCACAAAATACCCCGGAAGAGTATATTACCTAACCAAGTTCATAGTACTCCCCCCAACTGCTGTTGACAGTTCTGTGAAACACTTTATTGAATTAATTGGTCTTTTTTAGGTTTAGGTTTGAGAGAGACCTTAAAAATTCATCTCTCCACCTGCTGCCCCCTCCTTCTGTTATGTTCTGTAAAGGTTGTTTGTTCCTTCTATTTAAATACTCTGACTACAAGAGTTCACACCTGAAAAGGGCCACTCGTTATATTTTCAGAGCTATTTCATTTTCCCATACTTATAACTGAAGTCTGTTTTTTATTAACTTCTCCCTATAATGTAGTTCTGAATAAGTCAACTATAATGGTACCAAAGTACTATTTGTTTAAAATAATCTCCTTGCTTTGTAAAAGATTGTTTTAACAATTCTTAGTTTGGTTCTGTTGCTGTGAAATACACATTTCTTAGTTCAGGTTTCTAATGTGATAAAACACCATGACCAAAAGCTACTTGGGAGGACAGGATTTGTTTTGCTACTTCCATATCACAGATCATCATCAAGGGACGTCAGGGCAGGAACTGATCAGAGGCCCTGGAGGAGGACTACTATGGATTGCTCCTCATGGTGTGCTCGGACTGCTTCCTTACACCATCCAAGACCACCTGCCTAAGTGGATGGCACCACCTCTGGTGGTCTAGGCCCTCCCAGCCAATCTGATGGGCATTTTCTCAGTTGAGGTCTCTGACTCCCAGTGACTACAGCTTGTGTCAAGTTGGCATGTAACTAGCCAGCATAGCACCTTAACCAAAAGTAAATTGGGCAGGAAATATAAAGGATTTATTTCATTTTACAGATTAAGGCCAGAGCTTAGAGCAGAAACCACAGAGGAAGACTACTGTCTTGCTCGGGTGCCTTTTTGAGAAGGTACAGGTCCACTTGCCCAGGGATGGATAGGTTGGAACCTTCTACTTCAACTAGCAATTAAGAAAATGTCTCATAGACATGACCATAGGCCAATCTGATCTGCTCTTTAGTTGAGGATCCCTCGTCCCAGGTGACTAGATTTGTGTCAAGTTGACAGCTGAAGCTATGATAAGGCAGGAAAAAATAGCCATCTAACATAATAGTGTTTAGCTTTTCAATTTTAATAGTAAAATACATGGTTATGACACCATAAAGGTAATAATTTAGAAAAGAGAAATAAGTATAAGGCAAGAACGCTCTTTGGTGTGTGTTTGGTGCAAGCTATAGTAATTTCTGTGGGGTTTCTTTGTGGGGACAGGGAACAGAGACTTTAGTTGCTCTGTAGCCCTGGCTGGCCTTGAATTTTGAATCCTGGTGTCTCTGGCCTCCTGAGTGCAGGGATTACAGGTACGAGCTGCCATTTCAGTCTTTACAGTTTTATGATCATGTATCGTAGGCATGGTTTACATTTTTTTTCTGTGGATACAAATTAGTTTCTTCTCTTTTAAGCAAGTAAATATTTACTCAGTTTGCTAGCTATGATAATAAAGAACCATTTTAATTTTTTTCACTATGTACCATAAGTGAAAGAAGTGTATATTTAGTGTTATTTACATAGCTTTTAGGCAAAGTAAATACCATTTACTGGTGTGATAAATATGTAGAAAGCTTATTCTGCAGTTTTTAAAGTAATAAACTGCCATTATCTAAAGTTTTATCTGAGAAACCATTTTCTGTAAATAATTGGTATGTTATTATTCACTGATTTTGACAGCTGGTTTAATTTTTATTTAAATATTGGGTCATCAGTATTATTGAACTCTTGTTTAAAGCTATTAGATCAGGATAAAACCTAGAAAACATGCTTGTGCCTTGGAAAAGTAGCAACTATGTCAGAGTAGTGCAGTAGTAAATTTGAATCCCACATTCAGAGAAACACACATTCAAAATTCATTTCTGCTGTTGTGCAACCTTGGGAAGGTTCTTATCCTCTCTGAGTTAGTATCTTTCTCCCTCTGTGGATAGAGATAGTGTTACTCATTTTTGTCAGCAAGTAAATTTGTTTAGTACCAGAAATTATGCAATATTTTTGTAAGACTTGTATTTCTGTCACTAGATCATTAATTAGGATAGATTAAATAAGAGTGTTCATAAAACAGCACAGTATGTAAGTGATTTTCTGTTATTAAAATATTGTAGGTGCTTTTTAAAAAAAAGTTGTGTAAGGTCAAAATTATGAGAGGATATGTCATTAGCACTTTATAAAGGTTAGTTTTTAAAACATGCTAGTATTGATAAATTGATATACTTTTAGAGGTGATAGCCCAGCTAATTAAAGCATTGCCACCCAAGCTGAGAAACCTGAGTAGGATCATTGGAAACCCCATAAAGGAAAGAGAACTGACTCTGCAAAGTTGTTTTCAGACTTCCTTCATGACATGCCTACTTGCACTCAACACACATTAATACAAAAATTTAAAAGCCTTTAAGTTTGGTACAACAGTGTTTTGAAAATAAATATAAATGATATTGATGCCAATATTGATGTTTCTTTTAGCTATTATCTTTTCAAAGAGGGGTGTTTGTGTGTGTATCACTCTATATATATCATACTAGGAGATGAGAAGTAATTTCATTAGGAAATAATGAAATACTAGTAGACCTGTTAAAGTTCAGAACTGTTACATAATCTTTAAATCCAGGAATCATTTAGACATGTAGAAAAGCTCTTTTCAACAACACAGAAACAGTTATAGACAGACATGATCTGTTAGTTTTTTTAAATGAGCAATGTACATAAAATTTACCCATGAAAGTTGCTGTTATACTTATGACTAGTCTAGAATTGATGACATTTAAGAATTAGTATTTTATTTCTTTCTTTTTTTTTTTTTTTGGCTTTCTGAAGTAGAGTTATATATATATTTCTTCCACGTGTGTGTGTATGAATCATGGTAGGTAGGCGATGGATTGGTCTGCCTTAGAGCTGCCATTCTTTTCTGTTCAGAGATGGTCTCAACTGAAACACATACTGGCCTAGAGTTCCCTCTAATCAGGCTGGCTTTGAACTCTGAGAGATCTTCCTATCTGAGCCTCCCAGTGCTGGGCTTGCAGGTGTTAGTTATGCCTTGCTGAGACCTGCAGTTGTCACCATTATAATATTTATGACAGTGATTGATAATTGGAATAATGGAATATGTTTTGAGTTTTGAAACCTTTCCACCCAGAATACATTAAATTAGTGTGTGACAGTTTGTTTACTTAAAGACTGTTCAGTAGATAGGAAAGATTACTTTCCCGTTTAGAAGTTTGGTTACTCTTAACATAGTTTTGTTAAATTAGTTATTAAGTTTTACTATTGCTGATAACACTGTGAAGTTTCATTGTTGGTGGTTTTTTGTTTGTTATTAATGTAAGTGTACACTGCTTTAGAAATAACTACAAGAGATGGAGAGATGACCCAGTGGTTAAAAGCACTTGGTGTTATTCCAGAGGACCCAAGTTGGGTTCCCAGTATGCAAGTCAGGAAGCTCACAACTGATCTAACTCCAGATTCATCATATCTGCTGCCCTCTTCTGGCCTCTGCAGGCACTTGCACACATACATGCACATGGAGAAAAGAAAAAGCACTACAGTTCTATCATTCTGTCAGGAGTTCATGCTTAGAGTCATTCAGAATCAGCACAACCACGGCTTTTATCCAGGAAGTGTAACTGTGTTGATACCCATCGGGTGGATAAAGCAAATGTCCCGTGTATATATGTGGCATTTTATTGAACTGTAAAATACAGCGAAGTCATATTTACAGGGAATTGCATGTCACTGGAAATCATCATAATGAGTGAAATAACCCAGACTTTGGAAGGAGACATACTGCTTGTCTTCTTTCATAAACAGAACCTAGATTTAAAATTATATATGTATGTAATAATAAAAATGACCTGGTATTGAAAACTATTAAATTTTTTTTTCCAGTGTGATTTCTAATGGTACTGACTTGATTCTGGTGAATCAGTGTTTATTACGGCTATAGTATTTATGAATGTATCATCTCAACTATAGTTTGGTACATGGTTATTTAATAATGGACTTGATTTTCATCCATTAGACTATACACACAAGGATTAATTTTGTATTATTTTCTTTCTCCTTAGTAAAGTAAAACAGGGTCTGTTACCTAGCTTGGAAGATTTGCTGTTCTATACCATTGCAGAAGGACAAGAAAAGATACCTGTTCACAAGTTTATTACAGTAAGTTTTTAATATTTTTCTCTCAATGTTCAAAGAAGTAATACTAAGTCAGTTACATACTATTGCTGAAATGTAGTCTTAAAAGTTTATCTGACTTGTAGGTTCTGACAGTGTTTCTCTTGCTTTCAAATTTTTACCATGTTCACTTCAAGGTAATCAATGAAAGAAAAAGAAACAGTGAGAAACGTGTCCAGAAAGTGGACAATAGTGACATAATCACCACATACGTGATCAAGCGTTGCGTAGAAACTTTATTATACAGAAATGAAACTTAGAGTTGGAATAAGCATATACATTACCTACGCTGTATATTTACAAACTCTTATTTTTTTAAAAACAGGCACTCAAATCTACAGGATTGCGAACGTCTGATCCCAGGTTGAAAGAGTGTATGGATATGTTAAGATTAACTCTTCAGACAACGTCAGATGGTGTCATGCTAGACAAAGATCTTTTTAAAAAGTAAACATTTCTGCCAAACCTTTAATGGTGACTTGCTGTGCTGTGTGCTGATTTTGCTTTTAAAACACGATTTTACATTTTAAAGACCAGTGCTGTAGTGTTACTTACTGAGAAAAGGGATCTGCAAATATTATATCTTTGAAAAACAGTTATGGCATATATTAAAGTTCTGTTATATACTGGGTTTAAATCGGTTGTAATGAAAGTTTGCTATCAATGTTGTTTGTGCCCAGGTGTTGTGTCTGGGTGTTCCACTGTGTGCAGTATTGCTGACTTTCTCAGTTGAGTCTGTTAAGTTTATTTCTATGTGGTAATGTAGATGATGAACATAAGGGACTTCAGACAGCTTTGTAGTCCTTATATTTATGTATTTGCATGACCTCATTCTCTTTTTCAAATGTATTAATGAATGGGTTTTGGGTTGTTGTCTTTTTTTTGCAAAACAGTTGAGAACTTAAGACAACTTTGAAGATTAAAACCTTGATTTGATTGAATGAGAACACTTTAACATTGCTGAATTTGCATATCTGTTTCTTAATCTTCTTTACTGTATTTGTATTAGCTTTAATAGAGAACATGTTTATAATTGATCCTAAAGAGTCAAATAATAATTTATTAATAGTTAATGGAAAGCAGCATAAAATTATAAACAACTGTAAGACTGTTTTTGTTTTTGTTTTTTTTTCCTAAGCTACAGACTTAAGTTGAGATGGATCCAAGTAATTTCTACATTTAATTTAAAAGTTTATTTTATGTGTGTGTGTGTGTGTGTGTGTGTGTGTGTGTGTGTGTTTAATTACCTTTCTTTTCGTTGGTGGATTGAATGATTTGTTGTAGATCTCTCCTGGTATCCCAGAGTCCCTGGGAGGGATAAGTTTTTAAGTAAGGTTCTCTGAAGTTTCTGGCATGCTTGTGACACTTGTGCCAATTCTGAATTCTCACCAGAAGGCTCTTGGTTCTCCTTAATGCAGCCAACTTTAATGTGTAGCTGGTAAGCTTACTTTGCAGTTGGTGTTGGGAAGTTGAGTCTGTTGACCTGTTCATTTTGTGAAAGGCCTGAATTCATTTCTAGATTGGTTTGAGCCTTTGGGGTAGGATTTGTCTTAGGAACTAAGTACTTGTGCAAAGTACTCTTTCTTGATTATGGTGCCTTCTGGAAAGTTACTTTAGTTTATCTGTGAGTATAGTTAATTGATGATAGGTTGGATTGTGAATAATTGATATAGGGAACTGGCTTTGGAATTTTTAAGGGAAAACACCAAATTGCACATTTAAACCACCTTTAAAATGTGCTTTATGAACATTGTTTCATTATGAAATTAAAAACAATTTAAATATTCTCTCAGTTATGAACCCAAAGACCCACAATCATAAAATTTTGTTTGTAATTGAATTAATACATAATGATTACCACAACTTTAAACACAAACTCAAGTTTTAAAAAAAGTCTATGATTGTACTATAGGCAATACCCAACCTGACATGAAAACACAGTGGTCTCTAGTGAGTCATTGTCAAAAGATTTTTTATTTTGTTTCTAGAATGAGTAACTCAAAATCTGACTATGAGCATTTTTGGGTCACTTAGAAAGGTGATTTACTCCAGAGACATTCCTTCTATGATCTCAAGTATATGAAGTTACCTACTTGAGGTTGTCAAAAATAAACCATCCCATCTTCATGCTGCTGGAAAGGAATTGTTAAAACATGAAATTCCTTTCTTCTGAGAGAAGTAGTTATAAAGGTAGATAATTGAGGTTTGAGTGAAAGTGTTGATACTTAACCTAAAATATATCTGGCAGAGGCCAGAAGAGGGCATTGTATCTCTTGAAATTGGTGTAATAGAATATGATGGCTATAAGCCATTTTGTGGGTGCTGGGAATTGAATCAGAGTCCTCTGAAAAGTAATCAGTGCTGTTAATAACTGAGTCATCTCTCCAGCCTTCTGATTAGTTTTAAACACTTAAAATGACAGTGTGGAGAAATAGTAGTGGGTTGATAATTTGAATTTGCTTGTTATTTCCATGTTTTATTTGTAATCTCTTTAAAATGAAGTATATTTGGTTTTTTTTTTTCAATTTTCTAGTTTTTTGTTGTTTTGTTTTTCTAGATCTCATTACAGATGGTTGTGAGCCACCATGTGGGTGCTGGGAATTAAACTCAGGACCTCTTGAAGAGCAATCGGTGCTCTTAACCTCTGAGCCATCTCTCCAGCCCATATATTTGGTTTAAAAATAAGTAGTAATTTAATTTTAGAAATTACCTTAAGCTTTTTCATTTGAGAAAGGTATGCTAGTTATATTTCCCTTGCAACTTTGATTATTTTTGGAAGTTGAATTTTAGAAGCTATTTGAGATGTTTAAAAATTAAATGTTTAATCAATGATAATATTTATTGGTGTATTACTCAGCCTCTTAATTTCATTTGCTTACCTGTGAAGGGGGGAACTCTTAAGAAAGTATTGATATTTTTAAGGTTAAACACAATCATTAGTAATGCCCATTGTTTTTCTCTTTCCTCAAAGCATGCTAATTTAGTATTATATCATTTGTCTGTGAGGAATCCAGTTACATAAATATTGTCTCATAATAATGGTCTGACTTCATTATTTTCTGTCTATCTGTCTGTCTTTCCATCTTTCCTTCCTTCCTTTTCCCTCCCTTCCTTTTCTCCTTCCCTCCTTCCTTTCTTTCTTTGTTCCTTGTTTTTGGTGTTTTTTGAGACAGGGTTTCTCTATGTAGCCCTGGCTGTTCTGGAACTCGCTGTGTAGACCAGGCTGGCCTCAAACAAGAGGTCCACCTGCCTCTCCCTCCCAAGCGCTAGGATTAAAAGCATACTCCAACACCACCCAGTAATTTTTTAAAAATCATATTATGGGCCTTGCCTTAAAGTATTTATTATAGTTCGTGTTGTATCTTGTTCATGTGTGTAGCAAGTTGTCTTTGTCAGTTAAATACTCTGTGACTGAGTTACTGATACTGAGAAATCTTAAGACTATCTTCAGCTCAGAGTTTAAAAAGTACTACAGCACTCAAAGTTCTTCAAGGTTACATTAACATGTTTTTTGGCTTAATCCTTTTCAGAAGAAAGCAGAGTATTGCTTAAAATCATCAGAGCGTTTATTGTGTCTTTGAAATGGTTTTTAACAGTGAAACATTTTTTTATTCTGTAATGTGTTACATTTACATGTAGCTTGCTTTTGGTTTTGGTAATATAAAATTTATGATGGTACTTCATAAGAAATTAACTATAAAGGATGCATTACTTTTATAAACATCTCAACATGTTTTTCACTTACACAAATTGTGTGTGACCAAACCAAATTGGTTTTATCTTAACAAAGCTTTCAAAGTGTTATTCATGGAAAATATATGCAATTATTTTAACTTTTTGTGCAATACTACTCAGTAGTTATACAGGAGCTAAGAAAGATATGTTGGAGATTACTTAAAATTGAAAAATATTCATAATCTCATTTGTGGTGGGTTTTTTTGTTTGTTTTTGTTTTTCGAGACAGGGTTTCTCTGTGTAGCTTTGGAGCCTGTCTTGGAACTCACTCTGTAACCAGGCTGGCCTCAAACTCACAGAGATCCACCTGGCTCTGTTGGGATTAAAGGCGTGCACCACCTCCACCCGGCAAAGATGTATTTATTTGTTTTATGTATGAGTGCTCTTTCTGCACATACACCTTTATGCCAGAAGAGGGTGCCAGATCTTATTACAGATGGTTGTGAGTGAACATGTGAGTGCTGGGAATTGAACCCAGGTCCTTTGGAAGAACAGCCAGTGCTCTTAACCGCTGAGCCATCTCTGTAGCCACTCATTTGCGATGTTTTTTTGTTTTTTTTGTTTTTTCGAGACAGGATTTCTCTGTGTAGCTTTGCACTTTTCCTGGAACTCGCTTTGGAGACCAGGCTGGCCTCGAACTCACAGAGATCCACCTGCCTCTGCCTCCCGAGTGCTGGGATTAAAGGCGTGCGCCACCACCGCCCGGCCTCATTTGCGGTGTTTTAAAGACTGATTTTTGTTAACCAGATCTCATGTTGAGTATTTATCAATTCTCGTAGGGTCCAAAACTTGTTCTAGTCTTAAACCCCAAAGAATGCACTGCTGTTTTAGTATCTGACACAGTTCTGGACACATCTAATTTATGTCTATCTGTTCAGGATAAGCTGGACGGAAAGAAAGCAACCCGGGGAGAGTGGGTGTTAAAGTGGACTGTGTAACTCACCTCCTCTACAGTAGTGTTACCGTTCCTGTTAGTGCTGCTAGCAGGTGCTGACAGTGGAAAGATGCTCACTGTGTTTTCCTGTCGCGTTTCTTCACAGGTGTGTTCAAAGCAACATTGTCTTGTTAACACAAGCCTTTAGAAGAAAGTTTGTCATTCCTGACTTTATGTCTTTTACCTCACACATTGATGAGTTATATGAAAGCGCTAAAAAGCAGTCTGGAGGAAAGGTAAGGTTTGGATACACGTATTTTCCAAATATAAACATTTAATATAAAGAGAATAAACCTGGGTGCTTTGTTTACAAATTAAGCAACTCGGTGGTTCATGCCATTAGATTTGGTGCTTTTTAAACTATTTTAAATACTTAACTCTTTTTGTTATTCTGCCTAGACTGAAACCGAGTTTAAAAAAATTAATTTGGAAATTAACTGAAGTGGCTTTACATTTTTTAATTAATAAAAGTTACTTTTGACATTTCTACAGATCTGATATCCATTAATATAAAGTAAAATATTTCTAGTTTTTAAAATTATCCAGAGACATTAAAGCATGGTGGTTCCTACCTATATTCCCAGCATGTAGGAGGTAGAGAAAGGAGGATCAGGAATTCAGAGGAAGCCTCTCTGTCTAAGCAGGTTTGAGCCCAGTCTGTTAGCCTGTGCTGCAGAAGAACCTGTAACACCTTCACCCCAACAAATAAGGCACCTATTAGTCCTTCCAACCAAGTACCCAGAGTAGTAGCTGAGACTACTTTATATAATCTCAGTGGTATAAGGTTGTAAGCTTTTTGTTTTTTGTTTTTTCCTTTAAAAAAAGTCTTTAAGTTCTTGTTTTTAAGTCTCTGCATTTTTAGAAAGAAAGATTGCATTGGAAATTAGAGAGTGGTAGAAAAATCACCTAGTGCCATGCTGGTACTCAGGTTTATGTATTAGTGTTCTTAGTTTTTACAAGTATCATTAAAAGACAGACTGATGCTCCTGAGTACTGTAAACAACTAGTCATCGGTGCGAGAAAACACTGCCTATCTTGTGTCTCTTAATGTCTTTCCACTATTTTGGATAGGTTGCTGATTATATTCCTCAGCTGGCCAAATTCAGTCCTGATTTGTGGGGTGTATCTGTCTGTACAGTAGATGGGCAAAGGTAAGTTTATTTAAAAATCTATGGAGAACAACTTTAACCCTTAAATCACAGTCTTTCCAGAAATACATAAAAACCAGATTTGAGAAGTGCTTGTATTTTAAGCAAGCTGCTGACAAATGAGGATCCTTGCAGAATTATCGGAAAGTGTTATGTTGGGGAGAACTATAAAGAGTGATTTGATTTTAAACATCTAGATTAAGAGAAACCTTTGGAAAAGTGCTAACCTGTGGGAATGTTTTTTCAAGAACTGTTTTTGGCAGGGAAGGGGCTTGAGAGATGATGGCGTGGTGGATAAAGTATTTGGATGCCAGTGGGAAGGCCAGAGTTGGTCTCAGGCACAAAATCTTGGGCAAATGTAGTGGCTTCTTGTAATCCCAACAGTTGGAAGGGAGGCAGAGAGATCCTGGATGCAAACGGGCTAACAAAACCAGGGAATAGGCAGGCTCCATGTCCAGGGGAGACTGCTTTGGAAACACGGAGAGGGTGCAGGGCTTGATGGCGGACTGCCTCACATGTGCACATATGTCCACCTACTCAATGCAAATGTACACACAACTCAAGACAAAAAAATACTTCACTTTGCTAGAAGTCAGACATTAAGCGTCATTGTCAAGTTCTAATTTGGATGTCAGAACAATTATGGCATACATCTCGGTGTTTTTCCCACTAAAAAACTTAGCTTAGAAATATAATCCTTCCTTAAAATTACTTTTTAAAATGAAAATACAACTTAACATAAAAATGTGTACAACTTGTAAGTATTGTTCATACAGCTTTTTTATATGCGTGATAAAATTTTACTCTTTGTTTTTATTTTTTGTTTTCAATTTTGAGTGACAGTTTCTTTATGTAGCTGGGCTGGCCTAGAACCTACTCTGTATCCTAGGCTATCCTCAGGCTTTGAGTCTTCATGCCTCTGCTTCTGATTTGATGATAGGCATGTGCCGCCATGCTTGGCAATGCCCTAAAGTTTAAGACTACAAGTCAGGTAAACGTAGAATATTTAGGTTTTTCTTTTTAAGGTAAAGTTGAAAATTTCTTCATCTGTTTGTGATCTTAGTTATCTAATCTGAAATATCCTTAAGTTATGATAAAAAGCAGAAGTTTTTTTATTATAATTTTACATGTTAATTTTTCTAAGACATAATTTTTAAAGGCCTACCTTACTCTGAATACAGATAGTAGTAAGAAAAACATTACTCATTTAACATCTGATAAAACTTACTTTGTTCTCTCTGTGAGTTTGAGCCTGGTCTACAGAGTGAGATCCAGGACAGGCACCAAAACTACACAGAGAAACCCTGTCTCAAAACCTCCCATTGTTCCCTCTCAAATTTCTAGCCTCTTCTTCCTAAATTGGTGATGTTGCCTATTTTTACATAATACGTAAATAAAATCTGCTTAGATTAAAAAAACAAAACAAAACAAAAAAAACCCAAAAAACAAACTTATTTGTTGACTGCTTTAGGCTTTTGCCGTTTACTTTGCAGTATCCCTCTTAGATGTACTCTTTTTAATGTTCATATTCACGCACACGCACACATCCTTGATAAGCTGCAGGAGTCTGTTCTCTATCGTGTGGGTCCCAGCGATTAAACTCTGGTGTCAGGCCTGGTGGTGAGCACCTTTAATACAGCGTCATCCAGCCAACTCTTAAACATCTTTAATGTTGAAGTCAACATTCATTGTTGAATTAGAAGTAATTATGAATTAGAATTTGTAATGTAAAAAGCAAGTCCAAACATGCAACTTTCTAGTTGATGCTAATTTCTTTTAATCTACTTTAATAGGCATTCTATTGGAGATACCAAAGTTCCCTTTTGTCTTCAGTCCTGTGTAAAACCCCTGAAATACGCCATTGCTGTGAACGATTTGGGAACTGAGTATGTGCATCGCTATGTTGGGAAAGAGCCAAGTGGATTGAGATTTAACAAACTGTTTTTGAATGAAGATGGTAAGGAGTACCTACAAGTTGGTTGGAGAAATAGTTCATTTTTCTGTTTAAATCTCAGTAATTTGAATCTGCTTTTGAAGAAACCTTTTCCTATTTTTAAAAGTTTGCCATAGAGTTTCACGTACTTTTCAAAATGGTTATTTTAGGTTATCTTGCACCATTAGCAAGAAAAGTAGAGAGATAAAGGCAAGGAATACATTCCATGACTGGGCACAGTGCACGCTTGTAATCCTGGCAAATAGAAGATGGGATGAGGTGAACCAGGACCTTAAGGACATTCTCAGCTGCATAACGGATTTGAGGGCAACCTTGGCTAAGTGAGACCCTGTCCATTAATAAATAAGTTACATTATGGTCGCTTATCAGGGATTCTGCTAGCATTTGAAAATACCTAGAATTTACTTCAGAACAGTTCAGTGGGAGCAGCTCTTAGTTCTGGGGTAATCATAATTATTATCAGTGTGTTGCTAATTATTTCAGTTAAAAGCCTGTTTGCAAAGGTGAATCAGCTAGATTCAGTTTCTTTACCAGTTTCATTGCTAGAGTTCTGGCCCTCATTTGTCCATAAAATGTGTGAACCACTCTTAAATAAATGTCCTGTACTATAAAAGGACAAGCAGAAATGAAATAGCAGGCTTTATCTCCCGGAGCAAGTTCCAGTAGAGAGTAGTGTTTCTCTTTCCATAGTCACATAATGTATGTGTGTTCATATATTACTTTCATACTTGAGGAAAGCTCTAGACTGGGCTGGGGCTAAAAATTTGAGGGCATATTGTGTTCCTATACTGTGGTTTTAGTGGTAGATAAATAGATTTGTTTCTCTGTGACTTTGGTCTTTCTACTTCATAACATTTGCTGTTTGGAAGAAATACATCAGATAATTGGGTTGCTTAACAAGTCTTTCCTGGAGTCCCAGCCTTCAGAGAGGAAGGAAGACAAAGTAGACAGTACTTCAGACTCAGGTTTAGATCTGAGCCGCATGTAGTTGGACTTCGTTCCTGTAGGTTGCCGTCTGTGTTGATCCTGCAGGTATGTGAAGATTGCTAATTATTGGATGATTTAAGGTGTAGAATTCAAGGAAGCAAGTGAAGTTGGGAAAAATTGTAAAAGGTGAACTTCAGTATTTTCTTTCTGCCAAATTAAAATACAATGAAATGTCTCACTCATTAGTATTTTATTAGTTTTTCAAATAGAGTCATAACTGCTATCGTCTATGTTTTTCTTTCTATGATTTTTAGAGCAGCTACATTTTTTTCTGTATTTTACCATAATCTTTGTGCTGGTTTTTTTACCATAATTTTATGCTAATGTACATTAGCATATATTGGCAGCTTCATTGAGGATATCATTCTGAAATATTTATTAGGCCTATTGACATCCATTTTTAATGAAAGAATTCATTCTGTTACTTGTGGAAGATTAGACATTTTATAATATACTCAGTACTTTCCTTTGGAAGGCAAGGGGAGTAATCTAAGTCATTCTGGCAGATACACTGATTTGGAGGAAGGTATTCAAAGATCTAAAAGCAGATGTAGGAATTCGAATGTTAGAAATCTTTTTGAGAGGCTGGGGATTAAGAGCTCTGGCTTTTCTTTGAGAGAACAAGGTTTGTTTCCTAGCACCACATGGTAGATTAACAACTAACTATGCAGCTTCGTTCCAGGGGATCTGATGGCCTCCTCTGGCCGCCTCCACCACCAGGCACACACATTGTGCAGAGACATACATGCATCCAGGGGAAACACCCATACATGTAAAATAAAATATCTTAGGAAAATTTGAAAAATCCTCTTGGGGAGTAAAAGGATTGGGGTAAATGAATTTAACATTATTAATAAAATTTTTGACATGTTCATGAATTGTTTTAAAATGATTTTATTGGTGGTATGGTCTACAAAAACAATTGTGATGAGAGGTTAAGATTTTAGTACTAGTTTTCATAAGAACTGAAATATGAAACTTAATAAAAGGTCTTGTCTGCCAGCAATCTTGAAAGGAATGGTAGGAAGACTTCAGTTCCCCACTTGTTCTTAGTTCTTAAGGAGTGCTGTGTTACTGAGTCATGGTTTATACCAGTCCTAACACAACAGTTTGACGATCTTTTTCTCATTTAAAATCACTAGTAGATTGTAGTGAAGCTTTGTAGACAGATGTGTTTGTGCCTCTATTCATTTCAGCATGGTTATAAATATCACTCTTGCTCTGCAAGATGATGATAATAAAGATTAATGTAAATATGATGACTCATAAGCAACAGTGGTGGTTACTCTATCAGCATGTGTAGTAATTTAAAGTGTTTGAAGTGTAAATAGTTTTGTTCTGAGATGGAGTTGGCTGATACTTTCTACCATCCTAAGTGAGGAAACACGTTTATGGAGATGGCAATTTTGGGAAATACCTTTAGGAAAGGTTTCTTTTAAAATAATAAATAATAATAATAAAATAATTTGGTTTATTATTATGGTGTGTTGTGGGGTGAGAAGGTATGTGCATAGCACAATGGACAACTTTGTGGAGTCGAGTCTCCTACTTTTACATTGGCTCCAGTGATTGACTCAGGGCCTCAGGCTTGCCCTGCAGCCATTCCCATCCGCCAAGCCGTCCTGCTGCCCCATCCTTATCTACCCTCTACCTAGTATTCATATAGCCTTCTTGTTGAGTGATCAGCTCAGGAGGCTGCAAAGGATTTGGTTCTTGGAGTGACGTATTTAGCTAATCCTGAAAGATGTAGAAAATAATGCATCTGATACATGGTCATAGAAGACAGAGTTAAGCTTTTCATAATTATTACCTCTGATGGAAAGTTTTAGAAGACAAATTTAGGTTTTACATATTGTTAATGATCTTAGATAAACAAAGCCAAAATATGTTATGTATACCGGATTTGGGAAAGAAGAGTTGAGTTGGTTTACGTAAGGTGACAGAGCTGAACTACTGAGAAAGAATGGAGCTTAGATGACTGGGGAAAACACAGGTGAGCACTGGGAAATTGAGCTGTGTGTAGAATGTATTGAAAACATGTCCTTATGGGATAATCGGGTTTCTTTAATTTTTATACAGTACTATAAATTTTAGTATAATACCTAAAATATGAAGATCCAGATTAAACCAGGTACCTTTCAAAAATGCTTTTTGGTTCTTTAAAATATGTATTAACAAACTTTAATATGCACTCAGTTATGAACCAGATCTTTATGAAGTTCTTATTCAGAGCAGTTTGAAAAGTAAAAAGGTATGAAAGAATTCCATGCATAGTTTATTGCCAAGTGCAAATAGATCTTTGTTAAAATGGGAAATATGTCCATAAATTACAAATGTTTCTCATGTCCATTTTTTGGTGTGCCAAGCTCTGTTGTTAAAGTACTTAAATGGTAGCACAGTTGATATTTATTGCAATGAACGTTGAGGAATTTTAGATTGGTCCTTTCACTTCTGCCTTGCTCACCTCCTAGCAGGAAACAAGCAGGTTTCCTGCTCCTGAGTCTCACTTAGGCTGCTGTTACATTGCAGTGATGCTGGTGTTCTCCACCAGTTTCTGGTTTAGGTGCTTGGCTTTGAACCAAAGGCGTAGAGTACGCAGTAGATTACATGCCAGGAAATAGCTTATTGTTCTTTGAAAAAGTCTTGAATGCAATTTATGTAGCATTTGCTCAATATTTATCATGCCCAGATATTTTTATCAAACACTTTGCGTACATATGAATAGACACACATTGGATGCCTTCTAGTCCTGAGATTTAAACCTGATACTGTAAAACAAGAAACCTGAAGTGACAGATTACAAACTTTGAAGTACATATATACCATAATCTAACAAGTTCTTCTGTGTTCTGCTTTCCCTTTGCTTGAGATTTTTCTTTCAGGTCTATAATATTTGTAAGTATTTTGCTTTCTTGGTTCCCTCTGGACATACATACATACACACACACAGTATAGTCTTCTGAAAAAGCAAGTGATATCATTTTATATATGTTTGGGGAAAGCATATTTCTCTTGGTCAGCATTATTTGGAGAAGGTAAAACCTTAATGGCATTGCAGTGTTCAGATTTTAACAACAGGCTTTTAGCTTTAGAACTAGTCTTTATAAGTAGCTTAGGATGTAATTTTTTTTTATTTTTAATAATAAGCATTGATGGGGTACAACATGTGCTTTGCACCATAAAAAGATGAATTAAACTGCCATGAAATTGCCTCACAGACTTTATTTGTAGTGTGAACTCAAAATGTTTCTTTAGCAATTTTGAAGTATATAATACATTATTATTAACTGTTGTCATATTATTTATCTAGTAGATAATTTTGCTCTCACCTAGTTACAATTTTTTTTCTTAATATTTCCCCATTTCTCTCCTACCCCCACAGCCCTGGTAGAAAACTATTATTTTCTGTTTCTATGAGTTCACATTTTTAGATCTGCATTAAAGAAGGTCATGTAGCATTTGTTTTTCTGTACCTGGTTTTACTATTTGTAATATCCTCTGGGTTTATCTGTGTTACTGTAAATATTTTCTTAATTTTTTAAGTCCGAGTAATAGTCCTTTATTATATATACTATATTTCTTTATCCATTCATCTACATTGTCAGTCTCATATCTGAACTCTGGTGAATAAATGTTACAATGAACACAGAAGAATTATATCTCCAGTATAAAGTTATAATTTCCTTTGCATAAATGTGCTCGGAATGGATTGCTGAATCCAAAATGTGCAATTTTAAAGGATTATTTCTGAATTATTGACTCCATTGAAGGAAATAGACCTTATTGTACACAATCCCTTATCCTCTCTTGATCTTTTTTAAACGAAAAATATCTAAAGCCATGTGCTCTCTCGTTTTTTACTCAGAATCTACTTTCAGAATATGTATGAGATGTCAGTAGAAGGGAAGGGGGAAAGGAAAGAACAGGAGAGGAGGGTGCATGTGAACAGGGTACAGTACGTGCGTGTGAAGACACCAAAATGAAATCTATCACTTTGCTGATTTAAATTTTTTCAGATGATAGAAAAAAGCTGGAAATTTTTATCTTTAATGATACAAATCATAAATCGCACAGTTTATTCATTGAAAGTGTGCAGGTTTGAAGCTGGGCTTAGGAATGTGCATCTCTGTACATGAGAGAGTCAAGAGTTTGAGGACAGTCTGGGTTACTTAACACTGTTTCAAAATAAAAACAGGAACAAAAGTGTGCAATTCAGTAGCTTTTACTATATTTGTAGGGTTTTGAAGTCATCACTCAGTCAAATTGGAACCCTTTGACCACCTCCAAAACAAATGCCATATTCCCTGGCTATTCCCTGTTTCTTTTTAGCTCTGGAGCTAGTAGTCTGCTTCTGTCTATATAGACTCATTTATTTGAGAAACCTAAGATAAATGGAATCACTTAGTATTTGTTCCCTTATGACTAGTTTTTCTCAGCTTGCTATGTTTAAGGTTCTTATAGTTTTGTCCCTTTCTATAACACTTCATCATGAATAATGGCGTTTGTTTATCTACCTTTCCGCTGATGGGACACTGGACTTCGTTCTCTTGGATATATAGCTAAGCAGAAGGGCTGGGTCCCTTGGGAACTCTGTGTTTATTATTTTGAGGAACCGCTTAACTGCTTTTTCTGTGCTCACAGGTGTAGCTAGAGGCTTGTCTTACAGAATGTAACTTGCTAAATTCAAGGAAACCATTAGTGTCGTACAGTGTAAAGTGTGTGCTGGGGTTGTCAGCCTCGATAAGCTTATTTTTGAGGAAATGAGTCATTACCACGGAAGTAGAGATTTGTTTTGGTAGTTTGAGGCAGGAGCTCATATAACCCAGACTAACCTTGAACTCCTGATTCGGAGTGCTGGGAATCGGAAAATGCACTGCCATACCTTGCTAGAAATATGTTTTCAAGTGGATATTTTTAATGCACTCAAGAGTTTCATGTTCATAATTTGCTGTGCAGTGAATGCTAATGTAATAACTTAAGCTTTTAAAAATTGATTTAAGAATTAGAAAAAGGTAGGATTATGGATTAACTTAAAAGTTAAATTTTATTTTAAAAAAGAGGCTGAAAAGATGAGCTAGTGATTAAGAGCACATTCTGCTCTTACAGAGGACCCAGGTTCAGTTTCCAGCACCCACATGGCAGCTCATAACAGTCTGAAACTCTTGTTCCAGGGGATCTGACAGGCTCCTGGCCTCTTCAGTCACCAAGCATACATGGGGTGTACATATACACATGCAGGCAAACACACACACAATAAAAATATTTCAAAAACTGTATAGGGCCGGGCGGTGGCGGCGCACGCCTTTAATCCCAGCACTCGGGAGGCAGAGGCAGGAGGATCTCGGTGAGTTCGAGGCCAGCCTGGTCTACAAAGTGAGTTCCAGGAAAGGCACAAAGCTACATAGAGAAACCCTGTCTCGAAAAACAAAACAAAACCAAAAAAACTGTATAGGAAATGTATCCTTTACTGCCAGGAAGTGTTGAAGGTACAGAGAATATATGTAAACTGAGTGTAATCTTACTTAGGCATATCACTAGTGTTTGTATTGTGTTCTTCAGTAGATACACACACACATATATACACATACATTTGCATAAGTACAAGAACTTTTTTAAAAAGTAAAATTGGGATCACATCAGATGGGCCTTTTCAAGATTATTTTTACTATAATATCATTTAAGTACTTAGTAGATGTTAGCTACATGTATACATTTTGTGAGCTTTAATCATAGTAACGGAGATATATTAAACCATAACTCTGAATGGAGGAAGATTGAGAGTGAGATGGCAGTGTTACAACCTTTCGATGTGCTTTTAACATCGCTTCTTACAGACTTGGGTGAATTCTTTTTTTAACTGTATGATTATCACAGTCCTCAGTGTGAATAGCTGGTTTGATACGTACCTTACTCCAAACAATTCTCCCTGCAGGAAAGTACATATGCATCCAAAGAAGTGGTTCCAAGTATCTGGAACAATGCTCTTGCTTTTATGTTTTTCAGATAAACCACATAATCCTATGGTAAATGCTGGAGCAATTGTTGTGACTTCACTAATAAAGGTAAAATGTTGACATTTCCTTTTAACCTAGTAAATTTTTTAATACCTAAGGATAAATCTGTTTTTTGGATTATTTATGTAGGACTACGATACATTCATTTCCTCTTGGAATTAAGAAAATAGTCTTGTTATATTGGGTTAGAATTTTTATTTATTCCCCCCCCAATGATGTCATTTCAAGGACAAAATGAAAAATATATGACTCACCATAAATCCCAACCATTAGTTAACTTCTGGATGTAGAGCTTTGGCACAAACTTAAGAACTTTGCAGATCAGTAGGAGTTGAGGTGTTTCTTTTTAAGGTTAATATTTTTTTCTCTTTGCTTCTAGAAAGAACAAGCTTTTTTCTAGAAAGAAGAATTTTTATGTAATATTTTTATTAGTAAATATAGGAACAAATGTTCTAATTTGTGTTTAAGACAAAATGTATTTATTATATTAAAAACAGTAAATTGTTTTTATCCTCATAAGCCGCTATCACAATTCTCATTTAAATTTGTTTCATTTGTTTTACTTATATCATGTCATAAGTTAAAAAAGTAAGGCTTCTTCCAATTATTACATTACTTACATTTCTGTGTTGGCATTGTATGTTGACTAATTTATGTTAGTGTTTGTATTGCCTTAATAATTGGAAGCTGATGTTTTGAAATAAGTATTTCAAAATGGTTCTGTTGTGTGATAGACTTTTATATCACGCAATTTCAGATCCCCCCCCCTTTCATTTTAAATTTCTACTTGTGTTAATTATTAAAATGAATTTTGTGCTTGGGACACATATATATTCCTCAGTAAATTTGTGCCTGTCTATTTCAGGTTAGAATAAAATATAACTCATGGACTTGTACATGGATAACTATAGAGGGGTACTCTGGATACAGACAGAATGCTGAAGGGTAAATTACAGGCTTAGCCCAGTTCACAAAACTCATGTAATGCTATAGTAGAAGTCCTACATTAACTGTCAATGAGTTTTAAAGCAGAAAACTGCTATCTTAAAAATACATGCTTATTTTAGGGCAATGATTTATAAACATTGACCCACTAAATTTTATAGCTAAATATCTGTTAATGTAGCTAGTTTTAGTAAGTTTATACTATCTAGTTATCCCAAGGTGAAAAATTATTGTAGAAAGGAGCAGTGCAGCTATATACAAGCACAGCTTTGTGTTTAGGTATCCATAAGTATGAAATATACATAGATAAAGGGGCCTTTATCACCACATCACTCATTAACGATTCAGGGTTGCACAAGCAACGAATTAGAGCTAAGGAAAGTTAATCTACGATCTCTGTTAATGCTTAAGCTTTTAAAACACTAGGGTAGCTCTAAACCATTTTTGTCCAGATTCCATGACTTTACATATATTTTAGTGGGTTCACTGACCTCCTTGAAGATGGTTCATGTGTTCAGTCTTAAAAACTACTGCAGTGGAGGGGCTGTCGGAGTTCAAGGTTCCTCAGTTTTACATAGTGACTTCGAGGTAGACTGGGGGATTGAGATGAGACCTTGCTATAGGAAGTAAGACCCTGTCACAAAGTGGGGGTGCTCGCATTGGAGAAAATGAACACGGCACACCAATAGGCGTCTCCAGAGGGCGTATGTAACTGGTTTACAAAACGCCGCCTTAACTGCATGCAGTTAAAAATCCTTTCGTGTGATGATTGCGAACTCGGTCAAGTACACTGACATGCTGCATGTGGGATTGCATGTCTGGTCATACCACACCATCATTTCACTAGTTTCACTTACCATGGTGAGTCATATGTCATAAACCACATTGATCCACATTAGTGTGAGCCGTTAGGAACAGTAAAGAAACACACAGACAACATAAATGCAGTTCAGGGTCCAAGAGTAAAGAAAAGTCATCTTGTATTTATGAATTTGATCAGTTTTAAATTTGTAAAATTTAAATTTACCAGCACAGTTGGCAGTTCATATTTAAACTCATTGTCTTAGAGTCTTTGTTTTCAGACTATGTTTCACAAGTATTTTTTTAACTGATCATAATGTAAATCTTAAAAGGTAGAAGCTTGATACAGCTGTAAAACTGCCCTGAAAAGGAAGACATTCCTTAGGTTAAAGAAAGAATTTAGTTTCGTTAGGTATTGGTATGCAGTCTCTATATGATTATGTATTTATAAATTGGTAATGTTTTGAAGTTGAGTTAATAAAACCTAGCCAAACAGCCCAGTCGTCTTATTTATAGGAAATGGACGCTGGATGGGTTGTATCATCAGTAGAATCTGGTATTCATTATTTGTTAGAATTTACTGTGCCATATTTAATGTGGGCATTGCCGTTTCATTTAATGACATCTTTGACATAGCAGTTATGAAAGCAGAAATACTGTGTTATTTTAACTTGTACAAAAACTGCATCTAGTGTTTAAATGGGTATAGGAGTCATCATTTAGACACTAGTTGGTACCTGCTCTCTGAATGCAAACAGGCTCCTTTCCAGGAGCTTGAGCTCAAGTGTCTGAAGCAGGTCTCATCCCATGGCTGCCAGATGCAACCATGCTTTTAGCTCTTTACTTGACCTTAGGACTGTTTTGTTTTTCCATTCAAAGTTCAGGCTTTGTTATGGTGCCATTGCAACAAATCTCATGTTAGACCCCTCCAAAAAAAAGTAGAGTCTTTAGTAAGACTCTTTATTTCATAATTTTGTAGTATTGATATTTTTTCCTTGTAGGATTGGTGGTGATCCTCAGGAAATGGGGGAAGAGGCAGAGCAAATGTTCAAAAGGATTAGCAGATTGTGGAAAAAGGAGGATTTGGACAGAAGGAACCTGTTGCATTAATTCTTAACCACTAAGCTTATAGGAAAACTCCAATATTTAAAATTTTAAACAAAGCTATATAGGTAAATACCTTTTTAAAAACAAATGTAATTTTACACTTAAAATGCACATAATTAAAAAGACATAAGGGTTACTCTTACTCGCTTTTCTCCTCTAGTAGCTACTAACTTTAAGGGAATACTTGGTTACAGTCTGTTTTAATCTCATGATGATAATGTGTGAATGTGTGGTTGAAAGGAAAGAATATGAGGGATAGTTATGTTTAGATGAAAAGACAATATTTCACATGTTTTTATTTTTCAGTTATAAAAACGACCTAGTTTTACCTTAAAAGTTAAAGTCTGATGCCTTGAGTATTGGGGTAGAAACTGAGGGCAACAAATTACAAAATGATTGTCACTATTGCATTTTCATTTTAGAAATACGATAAACTATGTGGTTTTCTATATTTATGTCTATTCTAGTGATCATTTCTAAGTTTTATTACTTGAAAAAGTTTGCTTGTGTGTGGGGGTCCCCCCTCCCCCGTTTTAGGAAGCAGTCATATTTTTTAATTAAAACATTGAAGATTTTAAAGTGTTGCTCTGTAAAAACTCAAGACAAGTTTAATTCATCGATACGGTATTTTCCATTTTTCACATTAGCCATAATCTGGCAGATTTCTTAGTACAGCCCACATCTCAGATGGTCTGTCACTTTTAGTAGTAATGCACGATGCCCTGGGCTTGGTACCTTTGGAACACAGGAGTTTAGTGGTTTATTTACTTGAGTTTACATTAGTAGACACGTTTGAGAAGTTTTTTTTCTTTTTCTTTTTTTTTTTTAATGAAAGGCAGATTTTTTTTTCCAACTGAGTTAATTGTTCTGTTCCTTTATTTTTAGAGATAATCTGTAAAAATACTAGATCAGCAGGGCACAGTGGCACATGTCTTTATCCCAGTGCTCTGAAGCAGAGGCAGGTGGATCTCTGTAAGTTTGATGTCAGTTGTGTGTGTATCATAAGTTCTAGACCAGCCAGAAGTAATAGTAGGGCCCTGTCTCCAAAAAGCCCTAGAAGAATGTAATTTTTTCATTTTTAATACTAATTGGTAGTTTAGTAATGTTTAGTTTCAGAAGATTCTTCTGTGGCAAGATGAAACCAAGACTTTTATAAAATCATTTCCATCGCCTCTCTTTGCTTCTTTCTTTCTTCTGTGGTCTTTAATATTTAATTGGCTTGCATGTCCACTCTTTATGACTATGTTTCATAATAATTGATTAGCTATTGGCTATTTAATGAAACATTTTTTAGTGTTGCCAAGTATATTTGTTGTTGCAGAGTTATATGAATTCATTAACAAATATGTTGTAAAATCAGATAAAAAATACTCCCAACATAGTTACATTAATTCTTTGAATTTAGTTTTTGTGATGCTGGGTATCAAAAATAGGGTGTGGGTCTAGGTGAACTTTGTACCATGAGCTGCCTCCCGAGCACTTACATTGATGGTTTTAATAGACAGAGGTAGGGCTGGAGAGATGGCTCAGCGGTTAAGAGCACTGACTGTTCTTCTAGAGGACCTGAGTTCAGTTCCCAGCAACCACATGATGACTCACAACCATCTGTAATGGGATCTGATGCCCTCATCTGGCCTGCAGTCATACATGCAGGCAGAACACTGTCTACATAATAAATAAATAAATCTTAAAAAAAAAAAATAGACCGAGGTAAAGCTCCGTCACCTTTGTTAAATTCTCACCTACACTTTCCTTAAAGAGATACAAATTCTATAGTTTAATAGACACTTTTATACAAGATATATTTTTATAATTTCTAGCAGTAGTCTTTTTACTCTTCTCAAACAGACCACATGGTTTGCTTTTAAAAATCATTTAGTGAATAGATTAGAATTTTAAAATATATTTTTCCCAGTTTTAATTTCTTAGAAATTCTTCCAGTTATATTTACTACAAATCTCTGTGAATGTGTCCGGGATGAAAACAACACAGTATGTTACAGTGCTTGTACTGTGAGCTATTCATTCTGGAACACATGGATCCCTGGTACATGAAGGGTTAAGGACAAGGAGCATTGGTAGTTTAAGAACGTTACTTTCCATGTATGCTTCCAATGTGCCCTTCTGAAAATAGTTTGATTTTGGCTTAGGAAGTTCCCATTTTCCAGAAGAAAGGCCATCTCATGTGGTCCAAATTTTATTACAGTTCACTGCTCTGTGGTAAAAGTCTTGGTTGCTGATGAGACAACGCTTTAAAGTCCTAAAGCTGGTGGTATTGAGCCTGTAAATTAAAGTAAAGCCTTATAAGAATTGTTGCTGCCAATAACAGTACCCTAGGGTGTTTCCCTTTGTTTAGTTTAACAAAATTGAAATGAGCTTAAGCGGGCTGAGCTTAAGTACGATTTTGATTACAAGTGATAAGGTCCAGGTATGAAAGGACTAAATAATATTATTGTAACAAAACCTTGTTCCATGTCAGTCTGCTCATTGATTATGAGAAAGGTTTTTTAATGTCTGTATAAACTGTAGTGTGAGAATTCTTACCATGTTCTGTCAGTAGAAACTATCAATTTGCATATGAACTAAAAATCAGTTATGATTTTGAAGACCAAAGAAAATGCTCTAAAAGATAATAATACAAGTTGATGTGCAAGATGATTAGCAAATCGACATCTTCTTTCAAACATTTTACTGTGAAATTCAGTCGTGAACAGACAGAATAGAATGATCAGCCCCATTTACCCACTCCCTGGTTCTGTTATTACAATGTCTGTTCCTTCACCCATCTTAACTTACTATGCCATAGCAAATTGATTTCTTTTTTTTTTTTCAGTTTTTCTTTTTTTTGGGCAGAGCACATTTACTCTGTTTTGTATGTGTAAATATGTTTTTCTCCTAAGAGTTTTGCACAAAAGGTTTTTACTTAACATTTTAATATTACAATTAGGTCCCATCTATCCGATCTTTTCATCTGTTACATGAAAGAAAAATCTTTCTGTTACATTTCCAAGAGATATGGGGGCAACTAAAGATTTAAATTAAACACCATTTCCAGGGTAGATATAAGAACAAACATTAATCAAATGCCTTTACATTTAAAGGGGAAGGTGATACTCTTTAGTCCATGTGATTATTCAGTATTTTATTTTTCCTACTTACATAAATCTATGTAGGGCATTTCAGATGCCTATTAAAATATTATTTAATAATAGAATCTGAATGCAATAAATAATACAATAAAAACAGGGTTTTTTTCTTCTTCTTTTTTTTTTGGATTTTCAAGACAGGGTTTCTCTGTGTGTATTTCTGACTGTCCTGGAACTCCCTCTGTAGCCCAGACTGGCCTCGAACTCACAGAGATCTACCTGCCTCTGCCTCCTAAGTGTTGGAATTAAAGGCATGCTAGGTTGTTTCTTTTTAAAAGCAAAATTCAATTTTTGTAAGCCATAAAATAGGCCACGTATGTGACCATGTCACATAGAGCAGAAATTTTTTTATATTAAACTTTATAATTCAATGAAAAAAAACTTGTATTAATTTCACAGGGAACAGCTTAGGTCAGAGAATGAAAGTTCATGTAACTTGTTTATTTTATACTGATTAGTTGTGTAACCAGTGATTATCCATGTGACAACACAGTTGTGCTTTTTTTTTTTTTGTGCTTTTTCTAAGGTTAAAAGGTTTTCGTGGCTTAAATGTTGTTACATATTTTACAGCATTAGGATCTATGGAATATTTTGACAACTGCAACAGTTCAATGAAGTTGGTAATTTCTTCTTTTAATTATTTTTCATTGAACAGCTTTGGAGTTACATGTCTACATTTTTAATTCTGGTATATTATAAGAAAGCTTTAAAAATGTCAGGATGCTTTAGAGAAAATATATAACCCCTTTTGTAACATAGAGGTTATAATCTAGCTGTCATTAAGTTGTTTTGACATTATTTAAGTTTTGTTAATGTCTAATTTTGATGACATACTCTGGTGTTTCTTCCCGCTGCTGATTATGTATGTGTGGTTTTAGTTTATAAATAGCTTGATTTGTTGGGTTTCATATATTTATCAGTCATAACTTGAGTTCGCGTAGGGAGAATGGACCTGCTTTTATTCAGTAGATGACACTCTGGAACAATCTCCCTGTAACAACATTCCAAATTATAATGCTTTGGAACTTGGAGGGTAGATTCTTAACAAAATTGCTTTTTAAAATGGTTGTCAAATTATTTTATTTGAATCCTGTTTTAGAAATTAGAGATGTATTGTTTCTATTGGGTGCATATCACCAATTAATACGTTTGATTTCAGATCTACAGCTTACTGCTTTGTAAACTTCGTCGAGGTAAAATTGAAACCATTTGGCTACTTGAACTGATCTACATTACACAGGCGTTTTCCTAATAACATTTGTGGTAGATAACATGTCATGACTGGAAGTAATGAAACAATACATCTTCCACACTCTGAATTGGCATAATGTTAACTATAATTGAAGTTAATTTTTTAGAACTATGAAGTAATTTTTTAGCTCAAATAGTGTTACAAGTGAGAGTTACTGAGAGAGGGTAGAGCTCTCTTCATGATAGTGTAATGTAGCCAGCACTTGCATATGTTAGACTTAGGATTAGAAAAGATCAGTCAGTTTTGCAACAACTCAGTTTTCTAACTCAATACGGGTTTAAAGACTTTGCTTTTTAAAAATACATTGTTCTTAATTGAAAATCATTCTTTATATATTATTTATTAATTAAGTTTTAAGGGCAAACTTTTAAAAGTTTTGAAACTGTGGAATTAACATTTTAGCAAACCATGTGCTGTTAGGAAAGATAAGGGGCTCCGGGGTAATTTGTATTCTGTAACTCTGAGATTAGTAAATACATTCTTAAATATATATTCCCTTTGTAATTCTTTATTTTTTTCAACATATGGGTGTTGACATGTACAAAAGTTTAAATATTAAGTTACTTTAGAAGGATTTCCTAGATGTAAAAGTACTGTGCAGTGCATTGAATACAGTGGTAGCAATTTGAAGTTTGTATTGTATTAGCTTTGTACTTAACCTCAGTCCTGTCTGTGTTAACATATTTACCTTTCATTTCTTTACAGCAAGGAGTAAATAATGCTGAGAAGTTTGACTATGTAAGTACAACACAGAGTCATGCTTTCATACTACATTCCTCAAGCATTTAATTTTGGTTACTGATACTCTTAATTTGGTTTGTAGGTGATGCAATTTTTGAATAAGATGGCTGGTAATGAATATGTTGGATTCAGTAATGCAACGTGAGTCTAATTTGTTACTTGGGCTTTTCTAGTTGGTCAAACTTCTTTTAATTCACCTGGTAATCAGACTATAGAATTTTGTTTTCAATACTGTTTTACTTCTTACATATAAACATATTCAAGCACACACATGCATGTACATAGGTATGTGCACACAGTCTTCTTAGGACCCTAGAATTTGCTTCAGTGAATAGTTCATTACTTAGAATTTGGTCATCAAAGGGAAATTAGTCGGGTCTGAATTACCTGAAAGAAACATTTAAAAGAAGCAAAAACCCACAGCCACAACTTAGGCAGACCCTGGAGAACCCTGTGAAAGAGGGGAGGATCATGGGAGGTGGATGGGGTTAAGGGTACCATAAGAAAACCACAGAATCAACTAACCTGGGCTCCTAGGGTCTTATAGAGAGAGACTGAACCGCCAACCAAGAGAGCTTGCATGGAACTGACCTAGGTCACACCTGTTACAGTTGTGTATCTTGGTCTTCTTGTGGGTCTCCTAACAGTGGGAGCAGGAGCTGTTTCTGACTCTGTTATCTGCTCTTGAGACCCTTCCCTCCTTCTTGGTTGCCTCTTCCAGACTCAATAGGAGAGGAAGTGCCTAGTCTTACTGCAACTTGATATACCGTGGCTGGCTGATCCTTTTGTGAAGAGAAAGGAGGGAAAGTGTATGTGTGGCGGGGGGTCCTTAGGGAAGGGACTGGGGTTCCAGGCAGCATGCACCGCCATACATGGGTTTTCAGTTGGTTCTGGAAATCTGATCTCCAATCTCTGTGCTTAGATGGCAGCACTTTACCAAATGAGCCATCTCCGTAGCCTGTTCTTCTTTAGATAGATAGATAGATAGATAGATAGATAGATAGATAGATAGATAGATAGATAGATAGATATAGATAGCCTGTTCTTTAGATAGGTAGATGATAGATAGATAGATAGATAGATAGATAGATAGATAGATAGATAGATAGCCTGTTCTTCTTTAGATAGGTAGATGATAGATAGATAGATAGATAGATAGATAGATAGATAGATAGATAGCCTGTTCTTCTTTAGATAGGTAGATGATAGATAGATAGATAGATAGATAGATAGATAGATAGATAGATAGCCTGTTCTTCTTTAGATAGGTAGATGATAGATAGATAGATAGATAGATAGATAGATAGATAGATAGATAGCCTGTTCTTCTTTAGATAGGTAGATGATAGATGGATAGATAGATAGATAGATAGATAGATAGATAGATAGCCTGTTCTTCTTTAGATAGGTAGATGATAGATAGATAGATAGATAGATAGCCTGTTCTTCTTTAGATAGGTAGATGATAGATAGATAGATAGATATAGATAGATAGATAGATAGATAGATAGGTAGGTAGGTAGATAGATAGTCTGTTCTTCTTTAGATAGATAAATACATAGATAAATAGATAGATACATAGAAGTGTGTGTGTGTATACATTTTTAAAGATGTGTATGTCTGTCTGTGTTAAGGTGCTTATGGTAGCCAGAAGATCCCCTAGAACTGGAGATAAGGCCCTGTGAGGCACCTAAGGAAGCCAAGCTCTGGTCCCTGTAAGAGTAGCAAATGCTCTTAATCACTGTGCTGTCTCTCCAGCCCCCTGTTACCTACGTAATCACATTACTACTAATAAATTCAAGAACAGAACATGAATGATTATCTTCAGCTCTCATTCCAGTAGTCTACTGTATCTCAACCCTTTTTCTTTCCCTTTTCCCAACTGGTATCAGTTATACTTTCAAAATACGATCTGATAAGGAAACTTGGTTAAATGCCTTCCAGCTTGTGTTTTATGTGCATTTTTGATATTTAATACCCCTAAAAACGTGGTTGTAGATGTAACCAACAGTCTTATTAAATAAGAAACACAGAGCCAATTCAGAGAAGAAAGCCAAGAGGTCAGAGCTAAGAGCCTCACCCTTCCTGATTCAGGGATTCTCTTCAGCCAAGAGAGCTCTCCGAAAGGGACCTACTTCCTGTGTATATGTCTTTATATACTCTAGCTGTTCTGTCTTCTCATTGGTTGTAAACCCAAACATGTGACTGCCTCGTCACTGCCTGTATGTACCGCCCTCCAGGTCCTTAAAGGCGTGCGCCACCGCCGCCACGCACTTGCTATGGCTCTAATAGCTCTGACCCCCAGGCAACTTTATTTATTAACATACAATTAAAATCACATTTCAGTACAAGTAAAATACCACCACACGTGGTCCTTGGGGTTGGAGAGATGAGATGGTTCATGGGTAAGATCTATGGCTACTCTTCCAGGGGACCTGGGTTCAATTCCCAACACCCACATGGCAGCTGACAACCATCTGCAACTAGTTCCAGGGGACCTGATGACTGACCTCCGTGGAGACCAAGCACACAGCGGTGCACAGACATATGCAGGCAGACACACACCATTATGGAATATCTGACAGCCAGGCTGCGGTGCGCCTTTAATCCCAGCTCTTAGGAGGCAGAGTAAGGCGATCTCTTGAGTTCAAGAGCAGCCTGGTCTACAAAGCAACGTCCAGAACTGCCAGGGCTACACAGAGAAACCTTATCTCCAGTCTTCCCCCCCCCCCCCCCCCCCCCCAAACACACACACAGCTGTCCTGGGTTCTCGGAGTTGGATGGTCCTCCAGTCTTCTCCATGGACCATTTCCCAGAGGCATCAGGTGTCTGCCATTTTTCCTGCTTCTGTAGTTGTTCTGCCCTGCGGGGTTGGCCACTGTTGATCTGATGTGTCACTGCCCCACACTTCCCATCGGGTCCCTCAGCGTAGTCTGCTTTCGTGATTCTGTAGGACAGTTTGACAAGCTTTCCGTTGATTTTAGTTCCTTTGTTCAGAGTAAGTGGAGTTTAGAAAGGGTCTGAGTGCATGTCCTTTCAACCAGTAAGGAAAGACTTACGCCCTGTTCTGTTGAGATAAAGAGACAAAATCAGCAGTCCTGACCAAGTGTCAGGTCCCCAAGATGCTGTGCTTTGCTACACCATTCAAGAACAATCATAAAGTTCAGTAATTTTTTTTCTTTCAGGTTTCAGTCTGAACGAGAAAGTGGAGACCGAAATTTTGCAATAGGATATTACTTAAAAGAAAAGAAGGTTTTTAAATTTTTGTTTCTATTCAAAGTTATTTTTGTTTACTGAAGTGATATCTAAGAACTCAATAGCCTTTAATTATTTAAAGTGAAAAGTTTTTACAAAGCACTCAAGTGTTAACAAATTACTAATGTTAATATTAAATTGATTTTATGTATCTGGTAGTATTAGAATGTTTGACGATGTTAGTGTAAGTTCTGGTTGAAGTTAGTTGCATTTTTTTGAAGTTCAGTGTCTGACTAGTGTTGATAAACTTTTTTTTCCTTTGAAGAACTTTAAGAGACTGGTTCAATATGATGATAAATTACAAATTACTTAATCTTTGTCTCTTAAAATAGAATTTAGGAATTTATATGATATAACTTTTCTTTATTTTACATTTTCAGTGTTTATGGACTACACACTGTTTTGATATGCAGTGAAACATTTTATACATCTCAAACTTAACACTGATGTGTTTTATGTGCTTTTTGGTTGTTTGCCTGAGTTTTCATTGCTTTTTTTTTTAATTTGGATTTTGCTTGTTTTCAGTGTTTTCCAGAAGGCACAGACATGGTTGGGATACTAGATTTTTATTTCCAGGTAATTTTTGCTCATGATTGTATAATGTATCTTCATAAATAGATGTATCACATTTTACAAAATTCTTATGTCTTGGATACTCTCTAGGCCATGAGAAAATAAATTTCCATTGGCTTTGAAAAGATGTCATGAAAGGCTCCTAAAAATCCACACATCAGAATGGAACAAGGAAAACAATGTAGAAATACATTTAGATAAAAATGGCAGTTCTCGAAACTGGTTTTTCCTACTCTGTTTTCTTAGTTTTTTTATTTTGCCTACAAATAACTTTGGTTTTCAGAGAGCTTCTATCAGCATTTTAAAACGTCATTCTTTGGTACTGTCTGGCTGTCTTCCCTCACTGTATCTTTGATCCTGATTTAATTGGTGCTGAGAATTGTTCAGCACATGCCTTCAGTGTTACATAGTATGTGTGTTCCTCTAAGCTAAGAGATCTTCATATTTGTGTTACGTTGAGGAGCATCCCACACACATCATTTCCTGTGGTGCAGATACCAGTTTGGTACAGCTTTCTTTGAAACCCGTCCCTTCCTCATGTATTTTACCTAATCAAGTTGTAATAGGAGTATGCATAGACCACATTTTTAAATTTCTGCTTTACTTTGTGTTTGTCTTGGCTTATGAAGGCGCTTTGATTTTAACCTTCTAGTATCCTTACAAGGTGATTATGGGAGGTTGGTAATGATGTTTGATGGAAGTACAGGTCCTAGATACCATTTACTCAGTGTGAAAGCTGTATTGGGAATCCGGTCTATCCATATAAAATTCAATTCAATAATGACCTGTTTGGTTCTGAGCCCTGTTTCGTTCCCCAGCAAGTACAGCACTGAACAGCACAAAATGTGTAGAACTCCTTGGAACCGTCTCTGGAAATCAGTATCAGTTTTACTCTAGCCAATAAAACACTTACTTAGTTTTGGCTATTGTAGTTTAAATAACACTACTTAAATACATTGTGAAATTTCGATTCTTTAGTACAGGAATCAAGACAGCCATAGAAGTGCTCTCTCTATGGAGAAGTGAATTTAAGTGAGCATCAAGCTATCAGGAAATGGTTCTTAAGTTGGTATTTGTCCAGTTAGGAGATGATTACTTTATGACAGGCAAAATTTGATTAATTCTAAGTATGAACTAGGAAATGATTAAAGGAATTTAAATTTTGTTTTTCTAAGCATTTCCCTATAGGCAATGATAATGGGAATCTCCTTCCTCTCTGTTTTGAGATGGGGTCTGGCTAGCCTGGAACTCACAGTGTAGACAAGGCTAGCCTCCAACTAACAGCTCAGTGCTGGGATTAAAGGTGTCTACAAACATACCTGGCTAAGTCTTCTTTTAGAAAGCATTTTCCTACTCTGCTCTGTGGGCCAGTGTAGCAACTGATGTAGTTAGAGAAGCCAGTCTTCTCTCCTTCCATCCTGTTTTGGTTGCTGGTAATTAAAAGTAAAATGTAGAGGAATATTACTTTAGGTTAATGGATAAATTTGGGTTTGTGAAATAAAGTGTTAATGCTGTTGATGTTATGTTTCAGTGCTGGAGTCAAACTCAGGGCTTTGTTAATAGGGAAGGCGAGTGTTCTGCTGCTGAGTACACCCTTGGCTTTCATTTCTGTTATTTTGATGGCATTTACATTCAAAAATTTCATTTTATCTAGGCTCTGTCTTTTTGTTTGTTGTGGTATATCTAGTGTCCACAGTAAACAGCAAATGACAACTGGTAGGGGCTTTAAACTCTAGCATTGTATAGGTTCATGGAGCACTCAGGCTGTCTTAAATATTTTTCTGTTTGTCCTTGGTTTGTTGCTCTGTAAATTGGAATGCTAAGTTCTATTATAGGTAAAATGTTTTATCATCATCAACCCCCCCCCAGGCATGCATTTAGTGATCATTTTTCATGCTGATGAAGGTTGCTTTATCTTAAAAGATATTATGGCTTATTTCTCACTATTACAATAATGTATGATGGATAGAAAACATTAATATTTAAACAAATTTGAATACTGTATAGAGCAGTAAAAAAAACTTAGTGTTTAGGGTATTTGGCTCTTTTTCACCTAATTTCAGTCACCAAAATATTATAAATTTGGACAACTGTGAATAAATCTTAAAATGACTAGCGCTTGGTCAGTTGAAATCTTAGAAATGTCATCAAGTTCAGAGTGAAATCATCCCTTTCCAAGCCATATTTCAGATGTGTAGGTGATATAAGATAAAATAGGTTGTGATAGAAGGCAGGTGAGACAAAACACCACGAGCCTAGATTTTCATAATTCAGTTTTGTTCTTTGTTTTAGCTGTGCTCCATTGAAGTGACGTGCGAGTCCGCCAGTGTGATGGCTGCGACACTGGCTAATGGAGGCTTCTGCCCAATCACGGGCGAGAGAGTCCTCAGTCCTGAGGCAGTGCGGAATACACTGAGTTTGATGCATTCCTGTGGCATGTATGACTTCTCAGGGCAGTTTGCGTTCCATGTAAGTAATGCTGATTAATTTTCTCTTGCAAGGAACTAGTCTAGACTGGTACTTTTAAATATGCAGTTTGAACTTTGCTTCTGAAGCTGTTTTATTTTTGGAGAGACACTTGTTTTCAAGGTTAATTGGTTACAAATGAGTAAGGAGTACAGTTACATAGTATGCGAGATGTCCTTTAAGAATTCAGTCACTCTTCATGTATAAAAGGTAACCACTCTTGTTCTGAAGGCATTTCATGATACAAGGTTAGTCGCTGTGGTTTTCATTGCTGATGCTTGGCATTATGGTAGATTGTACCTCAAGAAGTCCTTAAACTCAGAAAATGCACACACGAGGCCTGAGTCTTTGATTAGAAGTAAAGTATATACTAATAAAACTTGAAAAAAAAATTTTTTTTCTGAGACCAGTTTCTCTGTGTTTAAAAATGTTCTTTAAGCTTTGTGTATTTGGCACTTGTGAAATATGAAGGTATTTGATCTTATTATGTTAATACATCATAATGCCCTTCCAAAAATTGTTTTTGTAACTTCTATTTATTTATTTATTTAAAGAAATTTGTCTTCATATATTTGTGTGTGTGTTGTGGTTCCAAGGATTGAACTCAGGCCATCGTACGTAGTGACTAGCTCCTTCACCATACTGAGCCATTCTGCAGACCCTGCAGTTTTCATATGTAGTACAATAGAGAAATTGATTTCATATTATTCATCATTCACCTTTGTTAATTATGAATACATGACCAATCTTGTTTCATGTGTGTGCATACTTTTTTTAATCTTGTTATACTCCAGTATGTAATTGTAAATACATAACACAGCATTGTAGTACCACAAAAACTTAACTATTGCATATAAAACTGTTAATGTTATCATTTAACATTACCACTAAATTTAATAGAAAAATACTTAATCATTGAAATTACTTGTAAAGTACTATAAATTGTGGTTATGTAGTTCTACATTTTGTTTGACTTGGAAAGTAAATAAGGCTCATAATAGTTTTGGGGTTTTTTTTTTCTTTTCACGATCTCTTTTTAACTTGTTGTTTTTACCTGAAAACATTGAGTCATTTATTTCTATATATTTTCTCAGAACTCTGTACTTGTTCTGTATTCCCTTGTATTTCTTATAAATCCCCAGGTCTGATCTCATGGTTTCGTTTGCTTGTTTTGTTTAGTTTCTGCATGATTGCTGCAGTGGTACATTTCTGTCAAGCACTTGATACCTGAATCTTAGTAATCTACTAATGACTGTTTCTCTGGCAATGCTAGTTTTTATTATAATTATTCCACCATTATACAGTGATAACCATCTTGCATGTTTTTTGAAGGAGATTAATTTGTATTAACATTTCTCTATTCCTTGGTTATTTCTCTGACTATACTTCAGAAAATCTTAAGAAAATGTAATTCCTCAGTTTTTATTTATGAAATATTTTTTAGAAAAGACTTATGTTTAGAATCAGTGTGTGTTTTTAGGATTACAGCTCTGTAAAATAACATTCATAGCTCCAGAGTTCATTCAAGTGCATTAAGTTACAAAATGTCTTTGAATTTTTTTCCTGTGTTCTATCTACTGTATTCCAATCACTTTTGAACCTCATTTTCTGTATTATGAATATATTGATACATATCTATACAGTAGTTTTAATGGAGAACTTACCTTACCCTGTGGAGGTCTGAGGAAAACCTGGGGGTCAGTCCTTTTCTCCTCCACGTAGACCTCAGGGATTGAACTCAGGTTGTCAAGGTTGGCCTTACATGCGCCCTAATTGTGAAACTGTTCTCAAATGTAATGTTTTTATTTATTAAAATAGTTATATGAATGCCCCTTTTATTAAATTATTTTCAGGTTGGTCTACCTGCCAAATCCGGAGTTGCTGGGGGTATTCTTTTAGTTGTCCCCAACGTCATGGGCATGATGTGCTGGTCTCCTCCTCTTGACAAGATGGGCAACAGTGTTAAGGGAATTCACTTCTGTCACGTAAGCAAATTTTCTTAGTTAAAAAGGGTTGGGGGAGGGGATACAAGCTGCTGTCCAGTGTCCAGGAATTTCCTCTTTGACCTATTTTGTGCAGGGTTTTTATCCCCTTGGTACTTTTCCTGTCTGTGAACTAGTTCACTAGATTGTGTTGGAGGTGGTTGAACAGAAGCTTCAAATTGCCTCTAAAAACAGGTCCCATTTAATTTTCTTTCAGAAAAATTCTCTTTATTTTATGTTTACTTTATTAAAAATTGAATGTGTATAGGTGTTTTGCCTACATGTATATGTTCTGTAATTGGTATCCTTGGAGGCTAGAAGAAGGTGTCGTATCCCTGCAACTGAAGTTACAGATAGTTGTAAGCTGCCATGTGGGAGCTGGGAATCAAACCTGGGTTCTCTGGAAGAGCAGCCAGTACTCTTAACTGCTGAGTGTTTTAATTTCCCAGATTATAAATAATTTACTTTCAGTTTTTAAGAGCTCAGCAATAGAGAATTAAAATTCAAATCTCTTTTAATAATTGAGTTATCAAAGCAATTTATACTGCAAATAAAAACAAAGACAAGTTTTAAAAATTATGTGCTTTTTGTTTTTAGTTTAGTAGTTTGTTACCAACTAATTCTTGCTAATGTTTCAGCTTTGTGTTTATTTTCATTTATTACTTCCCAGAGCACCTGTTGAGTGCTGCACATTTGTGGGCTTCCCAATTAAAATTCAGATTACTGTTCAAACTTAAATATTTTACAAATCTAGAGAATGGTATTGTATTTTGGACAAGTGATTTTTAAGAGAAATTTTATGGTATTTTTATAGTTTATGGTATTTTACATAAGTTGCCCTTCATGTGACCTATTAAAAATGGCAGTTTGAGTGACTGAGCCTTACTGTTGAGTTCTTACCCTGGGGTCCTTCCTCTTCCTGACTGTTGGGCTGTTTGATTAGCTGGCGGTGTGGTTGCTAGGAGACACTAGTGAGGCTGCATAGTAATGTTTATGTGAATGAACATAACCCGTGAAAAGCTGATTTCTTAAGTGGACTCTGTGTCACTCTTTACAGGATCTCGTTTCTCTGTGCAACTTCCATAACTATGATAATCTGAGACACTTTGCAAAAAAGCTTGATCCTCGGAGAGAAGGTGGTGATCAGAGGGTAAGCCAGTCCTTTCTGGATTCTTCTCCATGTCTTTCTCTAAGACGGGGAAGTAGCCTCGCCTGCCTAGATCACACTTCAGTTTGTTAGCAGTCTCATGTATGCCAATTTCAAATAAATAAGATGTTGACATTTTTATTTTCAGGCACTAGTACATAGGTATATTAAAATCATTTTTTGATATTTAAACTGGAAATGGTTAACTTAGCAGCAGTGCCGACTTCTGCTGCTTTATGTAATTGTTTTATAATTGATTGCATTAAAATAAGATAGTGGAAGATTTTATGTACTGTAAATCTAATTTTTAAAGCCTTGTTTTTACTCTTAATATTTGTCAGTTAGTGTTTAGAATTAAGTATTCTCATTGTCTACTTTGTGAATGGATAGGTAAACGGAAAGGTACATTTAAACTTCCTAAGAAAAAGGCCACGGAAGACAAAACACTTTTTCCAGAACACGTTTCCTGACACAGTGTTGATAGAAGCAGTGGGAGAGCACTAGTACTCCTGCTGAGCACGCTGAAGGTCTTGTTTGTTACAGTTTGTGGCCGCATGCATAAGCATTTCTTTTTTAGAGCTACTGTTACGATCAGGACTGAATTTTCTTTTTCATTGGACCAAAGGACTTGATGTTGAATTTTAATAACATTCCTTTGTATTCTACATGAAGAATAAAATTACTTAGTACATTAGAAAAGTGCTTAAAAGTAGTAATTTTAATACATACTGAGTGCATTTTTGTAAGTGCCAGCTTAAATGTGTTAGTTCCGGTCAGAGTAACCTTTGATTAATACCTGAGAACTTTGGAAAGCTGACAGTGTAAAACTTTCCTACCAATCAACATGAGTAACATGTAACAAGATGTCAGATGGTGGTGGGTGAATATATTGATGGCTCTTAATAACTTTCATTGAAAAATACCATTTTATAGCTTGGACCTTTCATCACTCAAGTGCACTAATAAATTGTGTATGTTGCTTGAACAACTAGCATTCCTTTGGACCATTGGACTATGAGAGTCTCCAGCAAGAACTTGCTTTAAAAGACACAGTGTGGAAAAAAGTGTCACCAGAGTCGAGTGAGGACACCTCTACAACTGTAGTGTATAGAATGGAGAGTCTGGGGGAGAGGAGCTAGAGGCGGGCTCTAGCTGCAAATGTTTCTTCTTTTAACCTTGGAAACAGCTTTAGGCCTTTTTTTCCCTCCAAACTAAGTATTTATTCAAGTTTTTCATTTGCTATCAACCTTGGGTACTGGAGCCATAAAAACTTTAAAAAAAAATTTTTTTTTTTTGCTTGTAATCTTTGTATAAAGAAATAAAAAGATTTGTTAATTTTTAGAAGAGCATTTACAGATAAAGCAAATTTGCTTTATTTTTTAGAACTACAAAAATGCAATTTCTTTAATTACATTAAAATTTAACTATATAGTCAGATAACCGCGTTGTCCTTAGTTCTATAACCTGCATATTAAATTGAAAGTATTATTGGATTTCTTTTCCAGTTCTACGTCCTGTCCTATGCCTGATAGGATATTGGTAGTGACAATAAAGAGCACTTCCATGCTAAGTAAAAAACTAATAAGGCAGAGTAATCCAAATGATTTCATTTAAAAGAGCCGTAGATTATGAAATTAGCTTTGGTTTACACATGTGCCAGTTAAGAGTGGTAGTTTGGCTCTAAGTACTTCAATTTAGTTAAAATTTGTAAGAGACGTTAAAATATATCTGGGTTTTTGTTTTGTTTTGCAACTCCTCTGTTCTGTCAGATCACGATGTAATCAGAGTGTTTCACACTCACTGAACCAGTGCAGCCAAAGAATTGCAGATGTGTGAGAATGACGTGTTCTCTTGTTCAAAAGCTATAATGGTTAGTTGCTCAGAAAAAGAGACAGTGAATATCTTCAAAATGGATTGTATTTTCATATTATTCATGTAATTTTTTGTTGTATTTAAGTATGAATTGTAAATTTTGGGTTTTTTTTAGCTCTCAGTAATATTATGTTTCATAAGTGCTAATGATAAATTTTGTGATAAATTATGACATCTCATAAATTTTGTTCTTTTTGAACTTTCATTAGAATACTTATGAAATGAATTTAGTCTGAAGGTATTAAGTATGCAACTAAAATATTTGTTAAATTGAATGCTTCTGTGTGTTTTAAAAATGCAATATTGAGAATCAAAACTTGTTTTCACGAGAACCATAGGTTCCATTTAATCCGATTGAGAGCAATTATACATATTATTTTTAAAATCTTGGCAAAGTGATGCTAAAGTTCTGTAGGATTTATTTACATTTCTTCCTTCATCCATGTATCTTGTTTTTCTCACAAGTTCAAGTTTATTTTTCAAACTCATTTTTAAACTTGCAAATTTTAGGCAAGTGGTTGAGAATAAAAGCCTTATAGCTTTTTAGAATTATGGCGTATGTACAGTGGGGCAGACTCTGTCAATGTAAATACAGTGCAGGAAAAAATACTTCACTGACAGACAGTAACAAGGTATAGAAAAATCCTGATGCTCTGTTTTGAGGTTGGAAGCTATGATATTAAGAAAAGTTTCTTCCCAGAAGTGCTACCTAAAAACCTTGGACTAACTTAAGTATTAAATTTTGTATTTAAATAATTACATGGTGAGTTTTAGAAAAGGCTTTTCTGTTGCTCTGGTGTTCAGATGCATTTCCTAACTGGATGCTTCATAAGTCTTCACCACTGCTCCTCCTATGGACATTGAGCATTTCTTTTAGTTATACCCAGGGCCACTTGTGATTCAGGTCATTGAACACCTTAATTGGAAGAAAAGATTTTAGTTTTTTTCCTCCGTTCTTTATACTTAAAATTTGCTGTTTTAGTCAAAGTTGGCTCTACTTTATAAAATAACTACTTGAAGGAATTTTCATATGGTGTGCATATTTGTGTAAATTGCAAAATTAGTTTGTGGCATTTCCTATATATAATTCTGGTAATGCTCGAATGCGCACTTAAATATGAAGTGGATCAAGCAATCAGAAGTGTCTGTAGGAAGATGTTAGTGTAAGAAGAAGTAAGGTATTGTGAGTATGAGTGCAGACTTTGACGGAAAAGGAAAGGAACGCTTTGCCAGTTTGCAGTGTAGCTCAACCCTCAGTATTCTCAATCTCTTTTCAAATAAAGTTCTTTGAGAAGTACCCAATATTGTTGGGTTTAATTTTTCCAGCCATTATTGATTCTTGATATTCAAGCATTTACATGATAGCGTATTTTTTCTTTTCTTTTTCCTGTTTTTTTTTTGCCATCATTAACATTTCATTTGAAATGCATATTCTTCCTAAAATATTTTGTTTTTAGCATAAATGTTGTGCATTTTATCTTAGTGTTTGGATGAAAACATTTGTGTTGTTGAGCTTTCTTCATTTGCTTTGTATATTTAATGTACCTTTATTTTCCAGTATGCCTACTTTTTGTATTGTACAATAAATTTATTTTAAGCTGATTTTATTGTTTTTTTTTTTATATATATAAACACTGGTGACATTTAAAATAACAAAAAAAATTTGGGGTTTTAACTTAGAAAAAATCTTTTGTGAAGATATTGACTGTTCTGAAGATTGCCTAGAAAGGAAACTAAAAATACCAGAAAGTCATTTGAGTCTTTATTTTTAATGAAGTAGTGTAGGGAGGAATTTTCCCATTGGTTGTACTTGAATTATTTAAATAAAGACTTCACACACACACACACACACACACACACTCACTTTTAAAAAGACAAAAACACTTCATTCTATTTGCAGGCTGCTTCTGCTTCTGATGAAGAATGCAACTAATTTAATTTGTTGTTTAAATAATAGGGGGAAAACCATTGCCAAACCAATAAAGTGTATCATAGTGTCTGCTTAGAAGAAAGTTGTCGTCCTCAGTAGAATAGAATAGAATTTGTAGAGTGGGCTAACTGTGATACAGAAGTCTGCCTTTAGGAGCTTTTGTTTATATTCACAATTTGCTTCAAAGTATCATCCAAATCACGTATACTGTGTGCATTCATTGTTGGTACATGTTGGCTAGATCTGCTGTTCACATTTTAGAAAGATTCCCTGAAAATATTTTAAAATTTTTGAAAAGGAAAGTACTTTTGTTTGCATTAATTAGCATTAATATGTGGTGTTTTAAACTAACTTTCAGTACTAGTTAACAACTTTCGGTATGGTACATGTGATATGAGTAATAGTTTATGTTTATTTAAGCTAAAGATACATTTTTTTTTAACCCATTGAAAGCAAGGTGGAAGGAGAATCTGGACAGTGTAGTAGTTCGTAGGAACACATGCATGAGTAGAAAGAACTGCTGACATAGACTGAGTGTGTGCATCTCCTAGGTTCACCTATTTAAATTACCAACTCTGAAAATGACCAGCTGTTCTTTCTGTAGTCTTTTAGATATGATTTATTGAGTCACTGTATTCTTACTCCAGGATTTGCCATAGAGAACTCAAATTAACAAAATCTGTTACTGTTCATAGTGACTAAAGATTTGTGGTTTGTCTTGTTCCTGTTCCTAGTCTTTCCCAGTGCTGTCAGCCAAGGGAGTAAGTAGCCATGTTGGGGAAGTCCAGGGCCAGGAAAGCAGGAGTGTTTGAGTGCCTGTGGGTTCGTTGACTTGAAGCACTTTCCAGCATTTATTATAAAGAAGGATTATTCAGTTTAAAGTAAGCAATGCTACTACCAGCTTGAACAGTTCACTTTATAGATTGGTTTTATTTAGTTCACTGTAAATATTAGGAGCATTTGCTTTATGAATATTAAATAATAATAAATCTTTTTAAAAAAGATTTATGATTAGTTTACTTACATGTGACTCCCCCCCCTTTAATTCTCCCCCACTTTCTGTTAATCTTACATGTGCATTGTGCAATGAGGCCAAAGCCCCCTGAAGACACAGTGTAAAAGCTGATTACCAAACCTCATGAAGTCTAGAGTTTAGTTTAGGTTGACTTAGAACAGATGGACTTCAGTTAGTCCATTCTCT